AAATTATTGATTGACTCCAGTAATCAGCAGCCTCTCTGTGTAGTTTCTATTGTGGGTATTGCAGGCCTTGGGAAAACTACTTTGGCAAAGCTAGTACGCAACAATGACCAAATACGGCAACATTTTTCCAATATTATGTGGATATGTGTTTCTGATAATTGTGATGTGATGAGGATTTTAGTACAGATGCTAGAGTCTCTTAGCAAAGGTCATTGTGAGAATATTACAAGCCGGGATGTTATAGTTCAAGAAATAAAAGAAAAGTTGGAGGAGAAAAACTATCTCCTTATTCTAGATGATGTGTGGAATGAAGAGAGGCGGGAATGGGAAGACTTAAGGCATTGTTTGTTAGGGATAAGTAACACGAATGGGAGTAGGGTCCTTGTCACAACCCGAATCCAAAATGTAGCATCAGTGATGGGAGTACTTCCTCAGCATGTGCATTGCCTCAAGCAGCTAACAGATGAAGACTGTTGGTCTGTAATCAAGCATAGAGTATTTGGCAACTCTCGTATTCCTTCAGAATTGAAGGAATTGGAGACTATTGGGAGGGAAAATGCTAAAAAGTGTAAAGGTTTACCTTTAGTTGCAAGTGTTATAGGGGGGATTTTGTGCAATAATCACAAGGTGGATGACTGGCGTGAAGTATGGGGTTTAATAGAAGAGGCTAATGGAGTTTTGCCTGTACTGCAATTGAGTTTCAGTCGCCTGCCAAAACCAGCTTTGAAACAATGTTTTGTTTTCTGCTCAATTTTCCCCAAAGATTTTGTCATGGAAAAGGAGATGTTAATTCAGCTTTGGATGGCTCATGGATTTCTTCAACCATCCAGTGAAAGACACATGGAGATGGAGGATATTGGTGACAAGTATTTTAATGACTTGTTATCTTACTCCTTATTTCAAGATGCAGAAACAGATTCTTATGGGAGTGTTATTACTTGCAAAATGCATGATTTAATTCATGATCTTGCACAATCTGTTTCAGAGTCTCAAACATTGATTTTGGGGAATGGTGGTCATGGTAATATTACTGCAAACATTCGTCATTTGAATCATATTTCTGATAAGGGTTTGACAGCAGCAGAAATAGGGGATGCTATGCAAAAACTGCACACATTGTTTTCCAAGACTGATGTCTTTCACAACATGCCTGCAAACTTCAAAAAGGTGCGGGTCCTTAGCCTTTGTGGTGCCAAAATTGACAAGCTGCCAGCTTTATTGAGAAAATTGAAGCATTTGAGATACTTAGATGTTTCCGACACCAGGATCACAGAACTTCCAAGATTTATCACCAAGCTATATCAATTGCAGACTCTTAGGTTTATGAATTGCTTCTTGATAGAAAGACCTCTGAAAGGAATAGGGAATTTAGTGAATTTGAGGCATATTTATTTTAATGATGAAAAGCATATGCCAGCAGGGGTTGGCACTCTAACTTGTTTACAAACATTACAATTATTTGTTGTGGGTCAGCAGCAGGGGCGTGGAATTGAAGAATTGGGAGGCTTAAGTCAACTCAGGGGGGAATTAGAAATAACTAATTTGAAGATGGTTAGAAACAGAGAGGAAGCCATGAGAGCAAAACTTCTTGAAAGGACTGCAATTCAGGAGTTAGCATTGAAGTTTGACCAAAAACCAGATTGGCACTCGGTATTGACGGGGTTTGGGCGGGAAGACTCAGAAGAAAGAAGGAAACATGATGAAGATGTCTTGGAAGGCCTCCAACCTCACCCAAACCTGAAAAGCCTGAGAATTAGTAACTATTGTGGTGAAAAGTGTCCTTCATGGATGTTGAAAGATCCTGGTAATTTGGGAGAATCTACTTATCTCAAAAATTTGGTGTCGTTGGGACTATTTTTCTTTCCCCAATTGAAAAGTATTCCATCACTTTCACTAAGCAACTTGGTGCAGCTGACCCTTTGCGGCTTAGAGGAATTGGATAGTGTGCCACCACTTCTACTCAGCAATGGCGCAAAGGTGCAAATCAGAAGGTGCAAGAGTCTGAGAAGTATTGCAGATTCATATCTTGAGGAACTCATGATTTATGAGTGTAGTGAATTGGTTAGTATAGAGTTCGGACCTCTTGCCATGATGTATCTGAAAAAAATAATGATTGAGTTGTGTAATAAGTTAGAAAGTCTTTCGATGTTTAGTGGCATGGGGGAGAGTTCATCAACCTCCACATGTCTCAAGGAGTTTTCTAAAAGTTGCAGTGATAGTTCGGAGTCGGTTTCAAGTCTACATGGGTTTTCATCTCTTCAAAAGATTGATATTTGGAATTGTGGGCAACTAAAAAGCATAGGGGAGAGTTTATCAAAGTCCGCGTGTCTCAAGAAGTTGTCTATAAGGGGTTGTCATAGTCTGGAGTTGCTTCCAAGTCTAGTTGGTCTTTCATCTCTTCAAAAAATCAATATAATCTCGTGTCAGAAATTGAAAAGCATAGGGGAGAGTTTATCAACCTCCACATGTCTCAAGAGATTGTTTGTAAGTAGCTGTCAGAGTTTGGAGTTGATTCCAAGTTTAGTTGGGCTTTCGTCTCTTCAAACAATTGATATAAGCACAAGTGGGAAATTGAAAAGTATAGGGGAGAGTTTATCAACCAACAAGTGTCTCAAGGAATTGGATATAAATTCCTGTGATAGTCTAGAGTTGTTCCCGAGTCTGGATGGGCTTTCATCTCTTCAAAGAATTGTTGTATCATTTTGTGGGAAGTTGAAAGGTATAGGGACGAGTTTATCAAGCTCCACGTGTCTCAAGGAGTTGTTTATAAGTTGCTGTGATAGTCTGGAGTCGGTACCTAGCGTAGATGGGCTTTCATCTCTTCATTTTCTAGGTATAGATCATTGTTCTGGTCTGGTGTCCATTCCAAGCCTAGATGGGCTTTCCTCTCTTCGGAATCTAAATATACAGAATTGTGATAAATTAACAAGTTTGCCAGGTGGGCTTTCATCTTGCACTGCTCTTAAGGTGTTGAGTATTGAGAATTGCCATGATCTGATTTCTATACAAGAGGATTCGAAGGACTTGTGTTCTCTTGTTAAATTAGAAATTACAAGATGTGGAAAATTGAGGAACATCCTAGGCGTAGGGGAGATTCTTGGCTTCCCCCTCACTCGCTTGAAGGTGCTACACTTCGGTGGTTTCTCAGTAGAACAAGAAGAACTAGAGGAATACCCCACCCAACTTGAAGAATTAGGTTTGGTCGGGTGGGAAAAACTTAGGCGTCTGCCACATCAAATTCAACGCCTAACCGCCCTTAGGAAACTCAGAATAGAGGATTTCGATGGACTGGAAGCTTTGCCAGAGTGGTTGGGAAGCTTGTCCTCTCTTCGATCGCTAGTGATTTCCAACTGCAAGTCTCTAAAACATATGGAAGCCATTCGATGCCTCTCCAATTTAAATAGCCTTGAAATTTTCGAAAGCCCTGAGTTAAGAGAAAGATGCGCCATAAGAAGGGGTTCAGAGTGGAACAACATTTCTCACATTCCAAATATCTGTATGCCTAGTGGACAGATAATAGAGCTAACACCAGTCTTCGAGGTATCTTCATCCTTTAGCATTGCATTATATACATTTCTTTTTAATATCTCTTGGTTTGATTAATTTTAGAATTTTAATTATGTCTTTGAATTTTGTTAATCTTCTATGGAATATATACTAAGTAATCCTAAAAGTAGCAACTAAAAAACCAAGTTATTTATCCTTTCAAATCCATACTTAGGCCTCTCCATTATTTCTTTCCCCAGCCAAAGCAATGCCAATTCAAGTTTTAATAGGTTGTATTAATTGACCAATTCAAATGCTAGTTGTATTAACATTTTAAGTTCATTTTTGGGCACATGAGATGCTTAGATTTGATTTTCTCTCTTCTCTTTTCCAGGTGGAATATAATGATGCACAAGAAAGCCAATTAACCAAATGGAAGAGACCCTTCTTTTGTTGCAAAGGCTAATAAGCCTTTCATCAGGTCTCGCATTCGGTGTTAGATTAATTTTGGTCTAAAAGATGGAGTGATGGAGTCTGCATTTGATTGGTACAATGTAAGTACTAATGACCTCAACACATGCCCTCTGTTTTCCAGTTTTGCATTCCATTTGCTAGAAGTTTAATGCATAACCTTCTTTCATTCCAACAGTAAGTGATGTAGCTTAATGTTAAGAGGACCTGTATCTTCTGAAAAGAATGCCACCAGATGTAAAATTCAAGTGACAATGCAATCAAATGAATTTTCAGATCTTTCAATATACCTGACCCTGACATTGCAGGTACCATATCATCATCTTTTGCGCAAGTAATATATTTTAGTTCCATTCTAAATTCCTTTTACATAATGCTACAGCATCTGCAGTCCCCTAGTCCTTTGAAACAATTTGCAAAGTATTGGTCTCTAAAGCCCTTCTTTCAAGCAAAGAATGGAAGTGAAATTGATGATCCCAAAATCACGTAAGCAATGTTTTCTGAGTCTTGAGTGTTGCCATTAAGCAGCCAAGCATTACGGCCTGTTCAAAGGCACCAACCAGGCATTGTTTACATTGAGGCATACCAGACTATTTCCATCAGGTCTGCAAGGATCTTAACAACAGATTTGGATTCATGGTATAAGATACCGAGGCTGGTGAGTGTGTAGACTGCATTTGTAAATTCTTCAAATTTCAAGAGTCCATAAAACCTTACCTTTCTCAGTTTTGGAAGTTGGTTCAGGTTCACTAATCTTTGTTTTATTGTGGGACTTTTTTGGGCATTACAGCTGATAGATCTCTTGTTGTTTCTGATAAATTGGAGGTCATGAAAAAAAGTTGTTGCAAATCATTCCCACCATTTTTATGATAATTTTCCAAGGAAATGTTAGGTTTGAGCTTGTCCCTCCTATGCGGACAAAAAGTCATATTTTATTTGATAAAGCCCATCATTTTTAGCACTTAAGAGACCTAAATGGTTTGATTTTGCAGATGTGAATAGAGAAAACATATAAAAAGGAAGAGAGTCAACAGAAAAGGAAGAAAAGGAAAAGGAAAACCATAAAAGGAAGAGAAACTTGCAGCTGAACATTCATTAAACTGTTGTATCGAGCTGGTTTTGTGTCTAAGAATTCTCGAAACAGTGATGGTGGACATTGTGTTTGGAGATCAGCAACAGACCTTTTTGAGCTTGGAATGGTAGTTCTGTTTTGGTGACTTCTTTCTCACTAGTTCTCCATTGTCTTGTTGCCTTGGGACTATTTATTTCTCTTGTTTGCTCTTTTTTTTTTTCTTTTTTTTTTTACCGTTATTTCTTCCTTTTTGGTGTTGTTATTGTGGAGAACCTTGTAAAACTTTCTCGGCCCTTCAGCCGAGAAAATGAGATAGTGGGCTACCTTTCTCGGCCTTTCAGCTCATATATATCGAGTATGATGATTGGGCCTTTTTAAGCCCACCCCAAAACCCCTGCTTCTCTCCATTTTGACTGGTCCAGTTCTAGCCCATATTATCATCGCCCTTGAAGAGGGTAAAATTTTTGTTCTAATTTCCTTTTTTTACTAAGAAGATTAATTGGGTTTGCTGTAAAATTTGCATTCAATGGGATTCTTTCATGTGTTTTAATGCTGTTAATTCAAACAGAAAGTATGCTATATATGCCATGCTATGCTATGCATGATTCTAAAACTAGTAAAAAGATGGAAATGGGGATAGTCCAAAGAAAACTAAGCTGTCTTTGGTGGTAAGTGGATACATTGGAGGAGAAACAATATATACATATTTTTTAAGAAAGACGGTAAACATGTATCTATTTTCCTCATCTTCAGGAATCCTTGATCCTTTTCTTCATTCATCTTTTAAGATATCAATTGAAATTGAGTTTAAAGGCATCAAAATGGAAGAAAATTCAATTCATTTTGTAACTTGATCAAATTCAGAGGGATCCAATTAACTTTTTCTAAATTAAGAGGTCAAAAGCTTAACCAAACACACTATAATTTTGTCTCATGACAGTTATGTTCTCTTTTTTCTTTTTTTTTTTGAGTTAATATCATAATTTGATATTGATCTCCCAACTTTTATAATTTGTAACTAAAATATAATAATTTGAAAAATGCTAATTAAAGGGTTGGATTTATTAGTATATAAGTGTCACGTTTTAAATCATATTCATACTCAAGTTTTTGGGCTAGCTCTCAAAGAAATTAATTTTTTTAAATGCATCATTATGATGCAAAGATACGTTCTTAAAATTACTTAAGGTGAGATTAATCTTAAAGTGCATATCAATTGACTTACAAAAACATTTTAAGTATAAATACTAAAGAAAATAAGACTAAATGAAATGTGGAAAAATGAATTTTTGTTACACATTATTCGGCAAAAATTACAAGGTTAATATCATATTGTAAATTTGTAACTATATATCATTTATGTCTTTGTACTAAAAAAAAATTCCCGTTATAATATTCATTCTCCTTGCTGCTGAATAGAAAAGAAATTTGATGAACCAATGCCTTATTAATCCTAATGGTTATTATTGTTCCTTGATGCTAGGATCATGACTAAACCCTAATATGCGGCATATACAATGACTAATTACAATTATGTGTAAATTACGGAATTCATATTATAATATTATTGTTTTTGGTGCATTTTACTTGTTACTACCTGTATTTTTAAGTGATAATTTGTTATAAAGTATAAACAATAATTTGACAATTTTTTGTATAAAATATTATTTATAATATGTTTGAGGTAACTTGTCAAAAAATCTTCCCCTTCCCCTCCCCTTCCTCCAAATATACAGTCAATAAAAACTGCGTATTAAAAGAAAATTTTCAAATTATTAATATATATATATATTTTTTAATTTTGAATGAGAACCGTTTATAAAAATCCAACACTTGCAGTTCCTCGTCTTTTCCTTTGTCCATGTGAGGAGTTTATTAATTTTCCATGATCGAACTTAATTCCAACCCCTTTGTTGGTGTAGAACTTTAGGCCAAAAGTTGGAACGTGAAAAAACTAAAGCATACATCTATCCATTTAATATTATGTTATATTTATTTAATATTATGTAATATTATAATTATAGCATTATCAAAAAAGATAAATCTTTTTTATTTTTTTGGTATAAGAGTTTATTGTTCTGCTATTAGAATTATACTATATTACAAAATAGATATAATTTAATGAGTGAGAGTCCCAACATTAGAGAGCTTGCTTCTCATTTAACATTTTATATTGTATAGTTAAGATTACACAATAGTTTTTTGTTCATATCATAGAATAGGGTTTTTTAAATCTATTTTTTTAGAATACAAATTAAAAGTATAATAAATATATTATTTTTCATAATTTTGTATTAGAAAAACAAAAGTTGATATCCAACTTATCAATTGTATAATTAAATTTATTCATATGGCAATGATATTAAAATTAATATCAATTTATAATTTTTTATATACAATTATGGGATTGCAAAAACTTAGAATATTCTAACAATTATAATGTCAAATATGATAATAAAAAAACTTAAACACCTTTATTGAATCAACATATAATAAAGATTTATTAATGATATTTTAAAACAATTTTATAGGCAATTTTCAGATTTTCAAAATGTTCTAATTTTTTATTTTTATCTAACAATTTTTCTATCATGTGTCATAAGATTGCATTTATTTCACTTTTTTTTATTAATTTAAATAAAAAATATTTATATTAATTTTATTAATCATTTAATTAAAATTATTCACATAATATTAATATTGAAAATAAAATTTAATTTTATCATTATTCATACAAATTAATAAAAAAAATGGAATAAATGAAGTTAGAAAACCCTTTTCTCTACTGGTAGAGTGTAAAGAACTTTTGAACCCAGTTCCGCCGGTGGAAAAGATAAGGAATCCGATTACATAGAATGCCAGCTGAATTTTCCACATTCCAGCCCTTCGATTGGCGTGGGAAAAAGTTAAAAAAAAAAACTGTATTCAGATTCAACTCACCGCATGTATAATAGTCGCCTCTGTTGGAGTTGTGGTCAAAGCTGCACAAGTGGCAGCAAATGAAAAGAAGGGAGGGCTCCATCAACAGCGCGGTAGCAGCAAAGTACAGCAACATGGATCCGCACAAATGGTAGCAAATCTTTTGAATGTCATCTTGCATTAAATGGTTAGTAGACTTTTTTTGTATTAGCTAAATATTAGGTGAAGAAAATAGTGTTGATGCATTAAAAGATTTTGGTATACAATGACAGAAGATGAATGAAAAAAATGGGTCCGAGCTCACGAATGAGGTAACTCCACGGTGTTTCTCTCCTCCTCCAAGCCCTCTCTCAAACCCTTTTTTTCCCACCACAACTTCAACAGCCTCCACCTAACTTTACCCCTACTACATCATTTTATCCTGTTTTGTGCTCTAGAATTTCCAAATTACAATACAAGCATTTCTCATATCCGATCGACCAAAACAAAGATGGCAGCAGAGAAGGCGGCTGACCTTCTGCTTGGTCCTGTTGTGAATGTCACAATATCAAAGGTGTTTGAACAGCTCGGCTTAGCAGTGGGATTCAAGCAGGAGCTGATAAGGTTTCATGGCACGCTGGAGATGGTCAGGGGTGTGTTGGGTGACGCAGAGCAGAAGGGTGTGGCGGGCCGCTCTGATGTGAATAGTTGGCTTGAAAGACTCCGGAGTATAGCTGAAGAGGCTGACGATGTGATGGATGGAATTTTATATGAAAATCTGCGACGCAAGGTAGCAGCTAAGAAACAGATGCTGAAACAGGTCAGTTATCTCTTTACAACCTCCAATCCTCTAGCATTTCGCCTCAAAATGGCTAACAAGATTAAGAGTTTGAATGCTGCCTTAGATGTCCTTAACACCATGGCCACTGGGTTAGGACTTCAACGCAGACTTGAAACAAGTCTTGAACCTAGAGGAATCCAGCAGACGGACTCCTTACTAGGTGAACCATCAGGAGTTATAGGAAGAGATGGTGATGTTCAAAAAATAGTTAAATTATTGATTGACTCCAGTAATCAGCAGCCTCTCTGTGTAGTTTCTATAGTGGGTATTGCAGGCCTTGGGAAAACTACTTTGGCAAGACTAGTGCGCAACAATGATCAAATACAGGGACATTTTTCCAATATTATGTGGATATGTGTTTCTGATAAATTTGATGTGATGAGGATTTTAGTACAGATGCTAGAGTCTCTTAGCAAAGGTCATTGTGAGAATATTACAAGCCGTGATGTTATAGTTCAAAAAATAAAAGAAACGTTGGAGGAGAAAAACTATCTCCTTATTCTAGATGATGTGTGGAATGAAGAGAGGCCGAAGTGGGAAGACTTAAGGCATTGTTTGTTAGGGATAAGTAAAAAGAATGGGAGTAGGGTCCTTGTCACAAGTCGAATTCAAAATGTAGCATCAGTGATGGGAGTACTTCCTGAGCATGTGCATTGCCTCAAGCAGCTAAAAGATGATGACTGTTGGTCTGTAATCAAGCATAGAGTATTCGGCAACTCTCCTATTCCTTTAGAATTGGAGACTATTGGAAGGGAAAATGCTAAAAAATGTAAAGGTGTACCTTTAGTTGCAAGTGTTATAGGGGGGGTTTTGTGCAATAATCACAACAAAAATGACTGGCGTGAAGTATGGGGTTTAGTAGAAGAGGCTGATGGAGTTTTGCCTGTACTGCAATTGAGTTTCAGTCGCCTGCCAAAAACAGCTTTGAAACAATGTTTTGCTTTCTGCTCAATTTTCCCTAAAGATTTTGTCATGGAAAAGGAGATGTTAACTCAGCTCTGGATGGCTCATGGATTTCTTTCTTGTGAAAGACAAATGGAGATGGAGGCTACCGGTGACAAGTACTTTAATGACTTGTTATCTTATTCCTTATTTCAAGATGCAGAAAAAGATTCTTGTGGGAGAGTTATTACCTGCAAGATGCATGATTTAATACATGATCTTGCACAGTCTGTTTCAAAGCCTCAAACATTGATTTTGGGGAATGGTAGTAGGAGTAATATTACTGCAGACATTCGTCATTTGAATCTTATTTCTGATGAAGGTATGGCAGCAGTTGAAATAGTGGATGCTACGCAAAAACTGCACACTTTGTTTTCCAAGACTGATGTCTTTCACAACATGCCTGCAAACTTCAAAAAGGTGCGGGTCCTCAGCTTCCATGGTGCCAATATTGACAAGTTGCCAGCTTTATTGAGAAAACTGAAGCATTTGAGATACTTAGATGTTTCTGAAACCAAAATCAAAAAACTTCCAGAATTTATCACCAAGCTATATCAGTTGCAGACTCTTAGATTTATGAATTGTTATTGCATAAGGAGACCTCTGGAAGGAATAGAGAATTTAGTCAATTTGAGGCATCTTTATTTCAATTCTGAGAAGCTGATGCCAGCAAGGGTTGGTAGTTTAACTTGTTTACAAACATTAAAATTATTTGTTGTGAGTCAGCAAAAGGGACATCAGATTGATGAATTGGGAAGCTTAAGTCAACTCAAGGGCCAATTAGAAATATCTAATTTGAAGATGGTTAGAAACAAAGAGGAAGCTATCATCGCAAAACTTTTTGAAAAGACTACAATTCAGGAGTTGGCATTGGATTTTAACAGAAAAATAGATAAACACCATGCAAGAATGCGGGCTTGGCGGGAATACTTAGAAGAATGTAGATCAGAAGAAAGAAGGAAACATGATGAAGATGTCTTGGAAGGCCTCCAACCTCACTCAAACCTGAAAAGCCTAAGAATTAGTAATTATTGTGGTGAAAAGTGTCCTTCATGGATGTTGGAAGATCTTGGTAATTTGGGTGAATCAACTTATCTCAAAAATCTGGTTTCATTGAAACTTTGTTACTTCCACCAATTGAAAATTATTCCATCACTTTCACTAAGCAACTTAGTGGAGCTGAACATTTTCGGCTTAGATGAATTGGAAAGCATGCCACCACTTTCGCTCAGCAGTGGCGCAAAGGTGCAAATCAGACAATGCAAGAATCTGAAAACTATTGCAGATTCATGTCTTCAGGAACTCTTTATTTATAATTGTCATGAACTGATTAGTATAGAGTTTGGAACACTTGCCACAATGTCTCTCAAAGAAATATGCATAAGCTACTGTCCAAAGTTAGAAAGTCTTTTCGAGTTGACTGAATTACCCTACCTTCGTACACTTAGCCTTGAGGATTGTAGGAAACTGAGGGATATTGGTGGTAATTTATTTGCCTCCACGTGTCCTAATCTGGAAGCATTAACCATTGCTAGTTGTTATAATCTAATGTCCATGCCTAATCTAGATGGGCTTTTATCTCTTCAAAGAATTAGTATTAGCTGCTGTCGGTTGAAAGGCATAGGGGAGAGTTTATCTACCTGCACGAGTCTCAAGAGGTTGTCTATAGTGCTTTGTTATAATCTAGAGTCAGTTCCAAGTCTAGGTGGGCTTTCCTCTCTTGAGGAGTTGACCATAGCAGACTGTGCTAATCTAGTGTCCATGCCTAGTGTAGATAAGCTGAAATCTCTTAAAATTGAAATTCGGGGTTGTGGGCAATTGAGAAGCATTGGGGAGACTTTATCTTTATCTACCTCCGCGTGTCTGAAGAACTTATCTATGTATTCCTGTGATAGTCTGGAGTCGATTTCAAGTCTAGATGGGCTCTCCTCTCTTGAGACTCTAATTATAGGAAGGTGTGGTGGATTAACAAGTTTGCCGAGTGGTCTGTCATCTTGCACTGCTCTTGAGACCTTGAAAATAAGCAACTGCAATAATCTGATCTCTATATCAGAGGATTTGAGGGACTTGCGTTCTCTTGTTGAATTAGAAATTACATACTGTGGAAAACTGAGGAACATCCAAGGTCTAGGGGAGATTCTTGGCTGCCTTACTCGATTGAGGAAGCTACATGTTGGTGGTTTCTCAGCAGAACAAGAGGAGCTAGAGGAATACCCCATCCAACTCGAAGAATTAAGTTTGATTGGATGGAAAAAACTAGAGAATCTGCCACGTCAAATTCAACACCTAACTGCCCTTAGGGAACTCAGATTACAGGATTTCCATGGACTCGAAGCTTTGCCAGAATGGTTGCGACACTTATCCTCTCTTCAATCTCTGCATATTTTCAACTGCGAGTCTTTAAAATATATGGAAGCCATCCGATGCCTCTCCAATTTAAAAAGACTTGATATTGATGGATGCCCTGAGTTAGGAGGAAGATGCGCCAAAAAAGGTGGTTCAGAGTGGAACAACATTTCTCACGTTCCAAATATCTTTATAAATGATGTTTATATTGTTGGGTAGATTGAATTTGAAGAGAGATGCCAGGTATCTTTATCCTTTATGTGCATTTCTTTTTAATCCCTCTTTCTCTGATTAAATTGAAACTTTTAATTATGTCTTTGGCTGTTGCCAATCTCCTATGTGAATAGCATCCAAAACCAAGTTATTTATCATTTCAAGTCCAAACTTGAGGCCTCTTCTTCATAATTTCTTTGCCAGCAATGGCAATGCAAATTCAAGTTTTAAAATGTTGAATTAATTGGCCAATTCAAATGGAAGCTTTTATTAACATTTTAAGTTGTATTTTGTGCGACTGAGATGTTTGTATATCATTATTTTTCTCTTTCTTTTTCCAGAGCGAGGATGATGATGAGTGAGAAAGACAATTAACCGCAAGGAAGAGACCCTTCTTTTGTTGCAAAGCCTAATAAGCTTTACAGGTCTCTATCATTTTGCATTAGATTAATTCCATTTGCTGGTAGTTTCATATGAATAGAATGCCACTGCATGTCAAATTCAAGTGACAATGCAATCAAGGAGGGTCAACATGAATTTTCAGATCTCTCATGCAATATAACTTCATCTGACATTTCAGGTAAGATATTTTAGTACCATCCTAGATTCCTTCTACAATTTTTTTTTTGGTACTAATTGTTAATAGCATTCATGACATTGCAGACATTTGCTTATGGAATGTGCTTTTCTGTTCCAGAACTTGCTCTCAATTCGAGATTTTGAAGAATGTGAGATTATATAAGGTACACACTATGGAGACAAAAGTGGAAAAACAGACCAGTGAGGTTGATTTTTGTAACAGTCGCTTCTTCCCTAAGCAGGTAAATTAAATCTCTTTGAAAATTGAATTGTTTAGAAGAATGGCAGATGCAAAGTAGCTTATGGACTTCCAATGTTTAGGTCTCTCTTGAGTCTTGATAGTTGCCATTAAGCAGCCTACCTAATCAAGCGTTACGGTCTGCGCAAGGCACTAACGAGGCAATGTTTACATCGAAGCATACCAGACTCTTTCCATCAGGCCCTCAAGGATCTCAGCGGCAGCTTTGGATTCATAGTCTATAATACCAAAGCCGGTAAGTATTTTTATCGCATTTGTAAATTCTTCAAATTTCAAAATTCAATAAAAACCTTAGCTTTCTCAGTTTTGGAGGTTGGTTCAGGTTCAGTAATCTTTTTTGGGCATTGCAGCTGATGGATCTCCTGTTGTTTGTGATAAATTGGAGGTCATGCAAGAAACTTGCTGCTGAACTTTCAGTCTTGGCTAAACATCCAATCTGTACTGTTGTATAGAGCTGATTTTGGTCTAAGAATTCTCTTGAGAGTGGAGATTGTGTTTCGAAATCTGCAACGGACCGTTTTGAGTTCGGATTGGTAGTTCTGTTTTGGTGACTTCTTTCTCACTTGTTCTCCAGTCTTCTTGTCTTGGGGCTTCTTGTTTTCTCTTTTTACATTTTTCCTTCTCAGAAATTCTTCTTGTTTGGTGTTGTTATTGTAAGAAGCTTGTAAAACTCTCTTGATATAGTGGAGCTATTTTTCATGGAACAAAGGTCCGTGGTTTTTACTCTTCTACTTGAAGAGGTTTTCCATGTAAAAATTACTTGTCTCATATTTGTATTTGATATTTTGATTTCCTCGTCTATATTGCTCGTCCGAATACTTACGGTCTCATCTACATTTCTGGCTAAGAAAGTGTTAATTTCGCTTCCGCTATGATTTTGTGCCACTGTCTCTTCTCAAAAGAAGTCCCGAAGACCACAGTAAAAAACAACAAAATTTACGGATTGTGAACGGGCCACTCCAGTCAAAGCATCTGCACACTGATTAGTTTTCCAGTACACATTTGAATGGCAGTCCGAAAGATTCCAACCCCTTTGTTGGTGTAAAAATTAAACACCTCTATTAAATTAACATAAAATAAAAATTCATTAATGATATTTTAAAACAAATTTATAGGTAGTTTTCTCATTTTCAAAAGGTTTTAATTTTTTATTTTTATCTAAGAAAATTTCTTCTATGTGTTATAAGATTACATTTATTATATTTTTTTCTATTAATTTAAATAAAAAATATTTATTTTAATTTTATTAATCATTTAATTAAAATTAATTATCATAATATTAACATTAAAAATAAAATTTGATTTTATAATTATTCATACAAATTAATAAAAAATTATAATAAATGAAGTTTGAAAAATCATTTCTCTAATGGTTAAGTGTAAAGAAGTTTTGAATCCAACCATGTTCCGCCGGTGGAAAAGATAAAAAATCCAATTACTATAGAATGCCAGCGCTATTTTCCACATTCCAGCCCATGGATTGGTGCAGGAAAAAGTCCCACAAAAAAAAGAAAAAGAAAAAAAAAAGGGGGTGGCACAGCTGTATTTTCCGCATTCCAGTTCCAGCCCATCGGTTGGTGTGTGAAAAAGTTTTTTTTTAAAAAAAAAAAGTTGTACAGCTGGATTTCCCACATTCCATGGATTGGTCTGGGAAAAAAGAAAAAATTGTATTCAGATTCAACTCAATGCATCTGTATAATAATTGCCTCCAGCTAACTTTACCCCCACTGCATCATTCTATCCTGTTTTGTGCTCTAGAATTTCCAAATTACAAGTCATTTTCGATCTACCAAAACAAAGATGGCAGCAGAGATGGCAGCTGAGCTTCTGCTTGGTCCTGTTGTGGATTTCACCGTATCAAAGGTGTTTGAACAGCTCGACTTAGCTGTGGGATTCAAGCTGGAGCTGAGGAGGTTTCGTCGCAGCCTGGAGATGGTCAGGGGTGTGTTGCGTGACGCAGAGCAGAGGTGTGTGGCGGACAGCTCTGGTGTGAAGCCTTGGCTTGAAGGACTCCGGAGTATAGCTGAAGAGGCTGACGAGGTGATGGATGAAATTTCATATGAAAATCTGCGACGCAAGGTAGCAGCTAAGAAACTTATGCTGAAACAGGTCAGCTATTTCTTTACAGCCTCCAATCCTATAGCATTTCGCCTCAAAATGGCTAACAAGATTAAGAATTTGAATGCTGAGCTAGATGTCCTTAACACCAGGGCCACTGGGTTAGGACTTCAAGTTCAACACAGACTTGAAACAACTCCTGAACCTAGAGGAATCCGGCAGACGGACTCCTTACTAGGTGAACCATCAGGAGTCAAAGGAAGAGATGGTGATGTTCAAAAAATAGTTAAATTATTGATAGACTCCAGTACTCAGCAGCCTCTCTGTGTAGTTTCTATTGTGGGTATTCCAGGCCTTGGGAAAACTACTTTGGCAAAACAAGTGTGCAACAATGACCAAATACAGGCACATTTTTCCAATAATATTATTTGGATATGTGTTTCTGATAATTTTGATGTGATGAGAATTTTAGTACAGATGCTAGAGTCTCTTAGCGAAGGTCATCGTGAGAATATTACAAACCGGAATGTTATAGTTAAAAAAATAAAAGAAAAGCTGGGGCAAAAAGAAAAGCTGGAGCAGAAAGAAAAGCCGGGGCAGAAAAATTACCTTCTTATTCTAGATGATGTCTGGAATGAAAATAGGCGGGAATGGGAAGACTTAAGGGATTGTTTGTTAGGGTTAAGTGAAATGAATGGGAATAGGGTCCTCGTCACAACCCGAATTCAAAATGTGGCAACAGTGATGGGAGTACTTCCTGAGCATGTGCATTGCCTCAAGCAGCTAAAAGATGATGATTGTTGGTCTGTAATCAGGCATAGAGTATTTGGCAACTCTCCTATTCCTTCAGAATTGGAGGAATTGGAGACTATTGGGAGGGAAAATGCCAAAAAATGTAAAGGTGTACCTTTAGTTGCAAGTGTTATAGGAGGGATTTTGTGCAATAATCGCAACAAAGATGCCTGGTGTGAAGTATGGGGTTCAATAGAAGAGGCTGATGGAGTTTTGCCTGTACTGCAATTGAGTTTCAGTCGCCTGCCAAAACCAGCTTTGAAACAATGTTTTGCTTTCTGCTCAATTTTCCCCAAAGATTTTGTCATGGAAAAGGAGATGTTAATTCAGCTCTGGATGGCTCATGGATTTCTTTCTTGTGAAAGACAAATGGAGATGGAGGCTATTGGTGACAAGTATTTTAATGACTTGTTATCTTATTCCCTTTTTCAAGATGCAGAAAAAGATTCTTGTGGGGGAGTTATTGCCTGCAAGATGCATGATTTAATACATGATCTTGCACAATCTGTTTCAGAGCCTCAAACATTGATTTTGGGGAATGGTAGTGGGAGTAATATTACTGCAGACATTCGTCATTTGAATCTTCTTTCTGATGAAGGTATGGCAGCACTAGAAATAGGGGATGCTATGCTAGAACTGCACACATTGTTTTCTGAGACTAAGGTCTTTCCCAACATTCCTGCAAACTTCGAAAAGATGCGGGTCCTCAGCTTTTGTGGTGCCAATATTGACAAGTTGCCTGCTGTATTGAGAGAGCTGAAGCATTTGAGATACTTAGATGTTTCTAAAACCCCAATCAAAGAACTTCCAAAATTTATCACCAAGTTATATCAGTTGCAGACTCTTAGTTTTATGGATTGTTATTGCATAGAGAGACCTTTGGAAGGAATAGGGAATTTAGTCAATTTGAGACATCTTTATTTCAATTTTGAGAAGTTGATGCCAGCAGGGGTTGGTACTCTAGCTTGTTTACAAACGTTAAAATTATTTGTTGTGGATCAGCAGAAGGGACGTCAGATTGAAGAATTGGGAGGCTTAAGTCAACTCAAGGAGACATTAGAAATAACTAAATTGAAGATGGTTAGAAACAGAGAGGAAGCTATTATTGCAAAACTTTCTGAAAAGACTACAATTCAGGAGTTGGCACTGCATTTTGACGGAAGATTAGAACCCTATCGAGGGAGGCAGTCTGGTGGGGCTAAGGAGTACTCACCAGAATGTAGATCAGAAGAAAGAAGGAAACATGATGAAGATGTCTTGGAAGGCCTCCAACCTCACTCAAACCTGAAAAGCCTAAGCATTAGTAATTATTGTGGTGAAAAGTGTCCTTCATGGATGTTGGACGATCTTGGCAATTTGGGTGAATCAACTCATCTCAGAAATCTGGTGTCATTGAGACTTCGTTTCTTTCCCCAATTGAAAATTATTCCATCACTTTCACTAAGCAACTTGGTGGAGCTGATCATTTTCGGCTTAGAGGAATTGGAAAGCATGCCACCACTTTCACTCAACAGTGGCGCAAAGGTGCAAATCGAACGATGCAAGAATCTGAAAAGTATTGCAGATTCACGTCTTCAGGTACTCATTATTGATGGATGTGATGAACTAATTAGTATGGGGTTTGGAACACTTGCCACAATGTCTCTCAAAGAAATACGCATAAGCTGGTGTTCGAAGTTAGAAAGTCTTCCCGTGTTGACTGAATTACCATACCTTCATACACTTAGCCTTAAGGAATGTGAGAAATTGAGGGATATTGGTGATGGTTTATTTGCCTCCACGTGTCCTAATCTGGAAGCGTTAACCATTAGTGGTTGTAGAAATCTGATGTCCATGCCTCGTCTAGATGGGCTTTCATCTCTTCAAAGTATTAGTGTTGTTGTTGGCCATGGGTTGAAAAGCATAGGGGGGAGTTTATCTGCCTGCACGAGTCTTAAGAGCTTGTCTATAGGGCCTTGTGATAGTCTGGAGTCGGTTCCAAGTCTAGATGGGCTTTCATCTCTTCAAAGTATTAGTATTGCTGGCCATGGGTTGAAAAGCATAGGGGGGAGTTTATCTACCTGCACGAGTCTCAAGAGCTTGTCTATTGGGCCTTGTGATAGTCTGGAGTCGGTTCCAAGTCTAGATGGGCTTTCATCTCTTCAAAGTGTTTATGTTAGGGACTGTGGGTTGAAAAGCATAGAGGGTAGTTTATCTACCTGCACGAGTCTGAAGATCTTGTCTATAGGGGGTTGTGATAGTCTGGAGTCAATTCCAAGTCTAGATGGGCTTTCCTCTCTTGAGGAGTTGGCCATATATGGCACTGATTTTCCAGTGTCCAGGCTAGATAAGCCGAAATCTCTTAAAATTATGATTTCGGGTTGTGGCCAATTGAAAAGCATTGGGGAGAGTTTATCTAACTCCATGTGTCTGAAGAACTTCTCTATATGTTACTGTAATAGTCTGGAATCGATTCCAAGTCTAGATGGGCTTTCCTCTCTTGAGACTCTAAGTATAGAGATTTGTGGTGGATTAACAAGTTTGCCGAATGGTCTGTCATCTTGCACTGCTCTTGAGACCTTGAAAATAAGCAACTGCAATAATCTGATCTGGACATCGGAGGATTTGAGGGACTTGCGTTCTCTTGTTGAGTTAGAAATTACATGGTGTAGAGAGCTGAGGAACATCCGAGGCCTAGGGGAGATTCTTGGCTGCCTTACTCGATTGAGGAAGCTGCATTTTGGTGGTTTCTCAGCAGAAGTAGAGGAGCTAGAGGAATACCCCAACCAACTTGAAGAATTAAGTTTGATTGGATGGGAAAAACCAAAGTATCTGCCATGTCAAATTCAACACCTAACTGCCCTTAGAAAACTCAGTTTAAGGCGTTTCCATGGAATCGAAGCTTTGCCAGATTGGTTGGGAAACTTATCCTCTCTTCAATCTCTGTATATTATCAACTGCCGGTCTCTGAGATATATGAAAGCCATACGACGTCTCTCAAATTTAAAAACACTTGATATTCGGAAATGCCCTGCGTTGAGAGGAAGATGCGCCGCAGAAAGTGGTTCAGAGTGGAACAACATTTCTCACATTCCAAATATCTCAATTGATTGGAACGACATTTTCTCACATCTAGATGATGATGATGATGCGTTAATTGATTGGAACGACATTTACCCACAAATAGATGATGATGATGCGTGAAGTGAATTTGAAGAGAGACGCCAGGTATCTTTATCCTTTATATGCATTTCTTTTTAATCCTTCTTTCTCTGATTAAATTAAAACTTTTAATTATGTCTTTGGCTTTTCTTTTGTCAATCTTCTATGTGAATAGCATCTAAAACCAAGTTATTTATCATTTCAAATCCAAAATTGAGGCCTCTTCTTCATAATTTCTTCGCCGGCAATGGCAACGCAAATTCAAGTTTTAAAATGTTGAATTCATTGGCCTCTTCAAATGCTAGCTTTATTTAACATTTTAAGTTGTATTTTGAGCGACTGAGATGTTCATATATCATCATTTTTTTCTTTTTCTTTTTCCAGAAGGAGGATGATGATGAGTGAGAAAGACAATTAACCGCAAGGAAGCCCTTGTTTTGTAGCAAAACCTAATAAGCTCTACAGGTCTCTCATTCTGCATTAGATTAATTCTTTTTCTCTTTTTTTTTTTTTTTTAATTTTTTTTTAATTTTTTTTTTTTTTTACTTTTCGGAAATTCTTGTTGTTTGGTGTTATTGTAAGAAACCTTGTAAAACCCTCTTAATATAGTGAAGCTATTTTTCATGGACTAAAGATCATGTGGTTTTTACTGTTCTATTTAAAGAGGTTTTCCACAATCATTGTCTCATGTGTATTTGATTTCCCTGTCTATATTGCTCGTCTGAATACTTACTGTCTCATCTACAATTCTGGCTAAAAAAGTGTTAATTTCGGTTCTGCTTTGATTTTGTGCCACTGTTTCTCCTCAAAAGAAGCTCATATAAACTAGCAGCTTAAATACGATCATACTTGAAAAAAAAAAAAAAAAGACTATTATACTAGATATTTTGATGTATTTTAGGGGGACTAGGGTTTATGCTATGTTCCCCAGTGAGAAACGATTGGATTAGTGAGCTTCGAGCATCCGCCCAAAGACGTAGGTGATGCATTCCTTTCGCTCTTTTTCTGTTTCACCACTTTATTTTCCCCTGCCATTTTCATTTCGTGCCATGATTTTTGTACCTTCCCTTCGTAATCCTGTCTACATTCATTTACGTTTTTCCTTTCCCCTTTAAACATTTGAAATTTGGGGATGCCTAGATATTTGCTTGTACAGGGGATTCATCATTGGCATACAGCAAAGGCTATGGGTGTGCTCTTGCCAGTGCAATTGCAACCAGCACTGCAAGTGCCCTAGATTCATTTACGTTGAAACCACATGGTAAATTTCAAAATATTGCCCCCAATTGTAAACAGTGAAAAAAACTGTTTAATTTTGCAGTTATGCCATGTAGAAATCACATCTTTGCTAAATTGATGAATCATTCTCTAAAATATTACGCAAGCCGCAAGTCTCCTCAAGCCAAAGCCATCGGACTTAACCTGTTAATCAATCCATATCCACAAAAATCTGCAACATATTCAAAAAAAAAAAAAAATTCAGAACCAAAAAATTTGACATATAAGCATTTCAACCAAGGTTGTTAAACCTAATATATTGACCACCAGGGCATTTCTAACAGGCTTTAGATAGTATCAATTACGGCTGCCAGATGGCAACCCTGACGAAACCTGATTTTAGAGATTCTTTTATGCGGAACTTTGAGAGATTTATTTAAACAGGGCATTTATAACTTCTAGTTGTCAACAGAGAACGGTATGTCCCCTAACATGGATACTAACCTCCAAATCTGGCAATGGGTCATAATTTCTCTTCTCTCGTGTGTCAAATACTGTAATGCCCATAATTCTCTGGACCCCAAGTTTTGTTGCAATTAGATTCTACACATGCAAACATACAACAAAAAGTCAATTGAGTCAAACTACCTGTTGAGGTGAAAGATACCATAAAGAACCCTCAGTAAAAGTTGTTGAAGATGGAGTACATTATAAATAATGGATTGCCGTACAACAATTACCACAAAATTAGGGAATGGTTTTCCCATTTATTCAACATTTTGTATATGGGTAGAGAAATAGGGTAAAACAATACCGAATAAATATGAAGTGATCACGCATAGTTTTATGTTTGATGTTGTGCAAAGTCATTCTACTACAGAGAAACTCAAATTCAGTTTTAACTTTTAAGTTAAAGATATTTCTCATACCAGATGGAAATCTGTGGAACCAGATGCCTCCAACTGTGGTAATGCCTGCATACAACAGTAAAATCATTATTAAAAGTGTGGCAGTACACTGTTTTTCTTAAATATTACTAAGAAGGGAAACTAACTACTACAAAAAATAGCTAGAGTGATGACTGACATGTTGGTCAATTACTAAACTTTGTGCTGCCATAAAATGCTTGAACAGAATGTTTGTAGTAAGGCAAGGACAATGTTACAAAGCCAGCTACTGTAATTACCATTGTCTGAAGACCATTAATCATAACAACCTTCTCCTCGTGTGAATTATTTTGTGATAAGAAAACCTCGAAGGGGCCCAACTTACTATCAGTATGGTTTACAAGATTCAAGTGTACCTGCAAAGCAGTGAATAGTCTAACAGTCAAGTCAATCTTTTTTTTTTTTTTGGTACATATAGTCAAGTCAATTAAATCACTGAAACCGGAGCATATTGCATAAAGAATATGAAGCAAAAGAGGAAATCAATAACAGAAGCATAGAAGAGTAAGAAATATTGAAAAAGTGCATGCTCTTGAATTCATAAAGCAAAACCATTGAACAAACAGTATTTACCAAAAAGGGCCTATCCAAGTTGATTACAGATGGAACTTCCACTAAACGCAACTCGACATCTTTGTGTGCAATAGGCTGCAAAAGATAATTTCCAGAAGCTGAAAACAAGATCCATTCTATGTGTATATATGCATGTCATTAACATAAAAGGGTAACTTCTCTATGTGCATGTAATCCTTGATTAGAAAATCGGAGTTTTGGCTGCTTGAGCTTTCTAACACTAAGATTCCAAAGCTGCTGCTAGGGCTTTCTATCAATATGATTCCGAAGCTGAAAAACCAATCATCAGGAACCAGAAAACTTTAAGAAAATATAACTATTATAGGTAGAAAATGTCCTAAGTGTATTCCAGAAAGTCTATTCCACTCCAACTGCTTAATGCCATGAACTTGTATAAAACAGAATAATACTTCATAACATGTCCAATGGTACCTAAGGAGGGTATAAAGGTTCAACACAAGGATTACCATGAAGTATCAAAAAAACCTATAAAGGGAGGTAACCCCATCAGTTTGCAGTGGAAAAATACAACCTAATTAGCCATTAATTCATGCAAGCCATAAACTCCCAAAGTAAATAGGATACTTAAAAGTCTGTGCAGAAAGTAATCTAAGATTCCAAAAAAAAAAAGGTCAAACTATATTTTTCTAGTTGGTGAGAGACTTGAAAGCCCTATACAGAAATGAAGCTAGCATTTACAGAAATTGAAGAGCATATTCTTACAGTGCCAAGTATTTGCTGTGTGTTTGTAAGCGGCCAGGCTCACCCAGATTTGTACGCCATGTTATTTGAAGTTTACCCAAAATATTAGTTCCCTCAACTTTGACTTGTCCAGAATCCTGTGAAGAGAGTCTCAATTTATAAAGAAAATTGTAAATTCCCCCACCAGATCTGATAAGAATTGGTGGCTTAAATATCTCTCTGCAAGCACGGGATCAAAAATAAAGTGAAGGTGTTGTCAGTTTAGAGATGAAAAAGTTCAATATCAAAGAAAATAATTTGATTGACCCAAAAACGGAAAAAAAATGAAAGAAAGAAATGATTTGGCACACGATCTCTTAATCATAAAACATTAGAGCTATACATATGTCAAACATTAGTGTGACAAATTTTGCTACTTGCCTTGTTGAATCATTGCCAACAAGATGGTTTTCATTTGCTTTTAGTACTGTAGAGCTCCAATGTTGGGATGGTTCAAAGTCAACTTGATCCATATAGAGGTTTGATTTTGTATGATTTTCAATGCAAGCCTCTAAATATGTAGTTTCCTGAGAAAGAAAACATAGTCATCACAGAAGTTTATAATTGACATAGATGATAGCAAGACATTAGATGAAAATTTTTATCATTATTAACACAGGGTTAACCAGATCTTGAAATGGATTTCTATCCTCAAACAGATTGTGATTCCAACAAATATCAAAACTCCAATTAAAAAAAATTACAAGCTAATGTCAATACACATACGATACAAATCAAAATGAGAAAAAAGGGTGACAGGCATGGCCTTGTCTAGGAATATAAATAATTTTGAAAGTTGTAAGCAGGAAACAAATAGATAAAAGTAACTCGCCAATGGAGCACCATTTAGAAATATGAAAAAGCAAAGAAAAAAAAAATGTGAGAGGAAAGTTCTGGCATTGATTTTATATCAACTTCATTTATTAAAATTGCCTTACCATGATTATTATAGACATGCCGGATACAAAAGCTAGAAGAACTTCCTCTTAAAAAAATTGCTGCTCTTGTTTACATGCATTTTAAGTATAGTTATCATTAAGAAGATGTAAAAACAGCGAGTTGCATATCTAGGTTTCCTTAACTTACACTTTGTCTAATCAATCTCAACCTACCTTGACAGCGCGGACCTGCACAGCAGAAACAAACATATTATATTCAGTTTGGAATGCAAAACCACATAGATAAATCTAATAATAGCACACCAGAAGCAAAGCTTCAATTTAACAGGAAAAAATGTCTATTATAAAAGTATAGAGATAGTACCTTTGTCCGAACTGATAGCGGATTCGAAACAATGAACTTGAAAAACTGTGGAAGATATTTTCTCTCACCATCACCATCATTGTACAGTGCAGTACACACCGGTCTAAATTTTGAAGCAACACATCTTGTTCAAGTTAGAAAGAAACAGTTTTATAAGCATAAAGGAGTCCCTGAGCAAACTAGGCAGATACGACTTACGTGTGAGCTCCAAGTTCCTTCACATCATGTTCCACAATAAAATCATATCGACCCCCTGCACGTATTGATTCAACTGGCGATTTTGATGTATCCAAGAGGAGGATCCTCTGCCTCTCTGTTTGAATTTCAGCCTGAATAAACCAAAAAGGACCCATTTATCTTCTCTACCATAGAGACATAATTTGTGTGCATAACCAGCTAAGATTGAGCTCTGGGAATCCATAAAATGCATGCATTTACAATCACTATTATTAATGAACTGAAAAAAAGAAAGCCCTAATCAATACTAAGCTGTTAACGAATACTAGCAGTTGTAAACAAATATTCAAAGTAATTTTTCACAGTTTCAACTAGATTACAAATGCTGTTTTAGTAAACACTAGCCAGAAGCCGAATTAAAGCTGAAATAAACAGTTTGATGGAAATTCATCAAAAAGAAAGGCAACACACTACGCATAATAACCTTTATAATTATGTCTCTAACTTCATAGTTAGAGCTGTTGTTGATACTGATGTAGCTGCAAAAAGTCTCCCCCAAATAAATCGCCCTGTTCACCAAAAAAATAAAAATAAAAATTGAGAAACCAGTAGCGAGAGGAAAACAAGGTGAATCAGGGGAGAGAAAGAGTGAGACCCGAAGGATTGCGGGAGGACGAGGAGGCCGGAGAGGCCCATGGAATCGGAAGGGTGGTGGAGGAGGAATCTGGAGCGGTAGCT